CTTGGGCTGAACCACATTAAAAGATTGAATCCAATCGATTAGTTAATTCAACTCAAGAGCTTATATACCGATTATTCTGCTCTTGAATTTCCGATGTGGGATGACATGCACTCTAACAATTATTATTATTATTATTATTATTATTATTATTATTATTATTATTATTATTATTATTATTATTATTATTATTATTATTATTATTATTATTATTATTATTATTGTTATTATTATTATTATTATTATTATTATTATTATTATTATTATTATTATTATTATTATTATTATTATTATAAGTGTTTAGAGAATATTATCTATGGAGTAATAAAATAGTACTGTAATTTTTGAAGAAAGTTTTTAAGCACACGCAGAGTTATGTCCCAACTGAAGTTCAAAAATGCGACCTCTCATATGGGTCCCATATGAAGACTCACCATGATGTCGCTAGACTACAAAGTTTTGGCACTGATGAACCATTATTATTAGGCTATTATAGTATTACAAAAAAGTAGTGTAATTAAAAGAAGAATATAGTATTACATTTTTTTATTTATTCTAATTTTATATTCTAATTAATTTTTTGGTAAAAGTAGTTTTTTTTGTGTATGAAAAATAAAAATATTTTTTTATTTTAAAGACATTCATTAAGATAACGACAACAACAACAACATCAACGATAATAATAACAACAATATTAATAATTTAAAACAACAAGATTTAGAATTAGAATAGTATAAAAATACACAAAAAAATTTTTTAAAGTTTTTTTAGATTTTATAAATTTTTCTAGTTTATTCAGTTTATTTAATTTCTTCTAGTTTCTTCTAGTCCTTCCAGTTTCTTTCCATTCCTTCCCGTTTCTTCCAACATCCAGTTTTTTTTTCCAGTCCTAAAGAGCATGCTCTTAAGTGTGTGGAGAATATTATCTACGGAGTAATAAAATAATACTTTTATTTTTTGAAAAAAAAATTTAAGCGCACGCATGCAGAGTTATGTCCCAACTGAAGTTCAAAAATGCGACCTCTCATATGGGTCTCATATGAACGATTCGTCATAATGCGGCTAGACTACAAAGTTTTTGGCACTAATGAATCATTATAAGGCTATTATATATAGCATTAAAAAAAGTAGTGTAATTAAAAGAAGAATATATGATGGAGGGGGCAAATAGAATCTAATTTGTCCCTTTAATCTTGGCAGTAATTAAAGTTGAGATAGAAATATACTTGGTAGAATAGGATTATATTATTTATATATAGGAGAGCCGACCATCGTCGCTTTTTTTACCGGGTACTATATGGTAACTTTTGATGGGGCTGGGTTTATTTTTTTTAATTTTGCCTTTAATCTCTCATTCTTTTTTAATTATGATAAATTATGATATGCACTTTTGATGCATATGATAAATATACACTTTATTCATCTCATCTCAAAATAATACAGAGTATTACGCTGACATCCAAATAACTTTTATTTATTCCAATTCGTGTGTTTTCAATTTTATTCGACAAAAAAATTATTTTTTTTACAAATTGTTTTGCACTCCGAGTAGAATATTTTGTGTAGTTTTGAAATATGTAATTTGTACGGAGTATTTTTTAATACCAAATTGTAAATAGAAATAAAATAATTTTAAAAGAGATGAGATTATTTTGTATTATCTATGTATTATATTATTCCCCATTTTATATTGTCCTTTGGTACGAACTCGTATCAGATATGAAGAAAACTTTGAGCGTTCTCCAAGCTTCAGAAAGAGCAGAACAATGGAAACTCTAGCCCATCTAATTTCTAGCTAGTCTATCGGTACGATAAATACATCGAGATAAGAAACCGAAAAGAAACTCTTAAACGAGCTAATAAATTGCTCACCTTAGAAAAACTAGATTAAAATATCATTAACATTACTACTAAATATCATACTCTACTATCCATAACATCTTTTTATGTACAAGATGTAAAATCTTGTCTGTTTTAAAATAAGTTACTTTACAATTTTTGAACAACATTTTATTTACAATTTAATGTGACTAAAACATGATTCTAGATTTGTTCAAAGTTCAAACCCTTGTAACGCAAGTGTGTAGTCTGCGTCTAAATGGGTCAAAATGGATACATGAGTAATGGGTTGGGCTATGCATCATTAAAACACAAAAGTTAACAACCTAAATACCCCATCAACAACTCTACTCAATGTTTTCTATGTTTATGAATGGATCATTATAATTGTATCATTGTTATTTTTAATTTATTAGTCAACTGATAATGTGTTTTGATAAAATTTAGAATGAGTTAAGAATAATTAGACTGGGTTATAAGACACTTGAGTCAAATCACATTAAAAGATTAAATCAAATCACAGTAAGTTCTGGAGTTGTTCTTTAATTTGTAATTATGAATGTTCTACTACAGATGACATCCTTTTCCTACCGTTGGCTGCATGGAGCAGTTTCATTAATGTTGGCATTGCTTTTAGCCCAACTGCCCAACGTATTCTTTTTGATGTTCCAATGATCAAGGTATTTGACTCCGGAGCTAGAATGGACAATGAACAGCGCACCTTTTCATTGTTCTTTGTTGGATCTCCAACTTGAAGACAAGTTGGTTTTTGAGGCGGGAAAAGTGTTACGGGACTATATTTATTACTCTCTTCGTATCAAATTAAATTACATGCTTAATATTTACAAGGTCAAACTGTATTCACTTTCTTTTCCTATTCTATTAGTCATTTGATGAAATTATATAGTCATGTCACTACTAGTTTTGCAAATTTTTTGATATAGTTTTTAAATATGAAATTTTATTTCTTAATTCGCACTATTTTTCATATGCCAAAAATGATTTTAAAATATATTCACTCAAACATTATAAATCGAAGTAGGCGATTTAAATTGGGTCCGAGGCAATTGTTGTTGTTGTTGTTGTTATTACTATTATGATCATCATCATCACCACCACCTATGGATTTATCAATCAATTTAATAAAGAAAATAATGTTTTAACCCTAATCTCTCTCTCTCTCTTCTCCTCTCTTTTATGTTCTTGGAGCTAAACTTGAAGGTGCTCGAAATACCTTCCTCTCTTGATATGATCAATACCTGATCAGCCAATAAACACATGAACTTCTCTAAAATGTCTACGGAAAACTCCTCTAAAATGCTCAATCAAAAGCTCAAGTTTGTGATCGTTAACCTAGTACTCCCTACGTCCCAAAAAGTAAGTTACGTTTTGGAAAATTTGCGTCTCTTAAAGTCCTTTTCATTTCTATTAAAAAATCACTTTTATCCTTTACTTTTTTATACTCTACCTATCACATCATACTTTTTTCCTAATAATCTACCCATCACATCTTACTTTTACCCATCATATCAAGGGTATTTTTGGAAAGTCAACACCAAAATATCACTCCTTATTTTACCACTTTAGTCAAAATGTCCCGATCTTATTGGGAAAGAGGGAGTATAAGATTTTACTTCGTATATTCTAAAATTCATGTTCTGTGATCTCACGTGTAGGCGAGATTTATTTTTGCTTGAGTCTTAAAAGTGAAAATTGATTTTCTAAAATTGAAATTAAATGTGGTGATATTCAAACTAGTAGACCTGACAAAAAATGACCCGACCTGTTTTTGACCTGAAACCTGACTTGAAAACATTAGAATTTGAACAAAAGTGTTATTGACCGAAGCTGAAATGATCCGCTAAGAATGGGTTAAACCCGATCGAACCCGGACACGACCTATAACCTACCCACTAATGTAAGAGTTTATCAAAATCATATATATATTTTACTATGAAATATAATGTTACAAAAAGGAGGTTAGAGTTATATTTATTTTCTTACTACTCATTTTTAGTGTATAAATTTCTATTTTCATACAAAATTTTAATGACATTACATAATTATCTTACTTTTTCCAAAAGTTATGCATTTTTTAATTCTTTATATTGATTTATATACCTAAAAATTACTTTAGAATTTAAAATAAAATAATATAATAGATTTAATACATACTTTTTATATCTTAATTTTATTTAATGCAAAGTGTAGGTGTTAATATGACTTTAAAATTTTAAAAACTAAATCCATAACCCGTTGGGTCGATCCAAACCTGAAAAACTCGGCCATGACTCATGCATGAGCATACACTCAACCCGAACCCAAAGTGACAAGCTCGAACCGACCAATTTGCCAGCTCTACGAACATGTAACTTCTTGGTCAGTAAGACTTTGATATCATATATATAAAATAACTAACTAAACCAAAAGCTCAAATTTGTAAATGCAAGCTTAGAATAGATTTTATTTTCTAAGAGGCTTGTAGCATATATTGGAAGGAAACAATAGTTCAGGTGAATTTAGCATTTTCAACTTGTTTTACAAAATGTCTTCCACACATATCTTACATGAAAACAACTATTTTTTTGCTACACGAAAATGTCTTGAAATCTTGGCTAGGGAATTTCACTATGAAAAGAGCTATATACATCCAAACTTTGCATTATAATTTTTTTCTAAAAAGTAGAAAAGAAATGTGTACTATATTTATATACAAAATCGGAGTATATCTTTTTTTCTAGAAATCCAAACATTGCATTTTCATGAATATAATCTTCAAATAATACTGAGTATATCATTGGAGGTTTTATAAATGTTGAAAAAATTGGAAAAAATTGAAAAATATTAAAAGAAATGAAAATCCTTAAAAAATATCATATTCTGTATTTTGGAAATTTTATACTCAATATTTTTTTTAAAATAAAAATACCGAGTATCTTTTATTGATTTTAATTGAAAGAATAACATAAAATCCTAAAATAACTAACCGAGCTTAAATACAGGCTATTATTAGTGAAACATTATTGTAACATTGATTTGTATATTGTCCATGTTATGATGGGCAATATGTTCCATGGAGTACTATTAATTACCTTAGATAAAGTGTTCCCCCATGCATAATGCCAATTAACTCCTATAAATACCTTCTACTATACCCACAACATCTCAATCAACTTTTAATTTATCCATCTTTCTCTCAATTTTCTCATCACAAAGATGGCAAAAAACAAACTTATTTCCCCTCTCATCTTCACCACCATCATCACCGCCGCCATTGTCACATGTGTGTTGGCCGCCGGCACGACGTACAACATATTGAGCTACGGAGCGGTCGCCGACGGCAAAACCGACGCGAACAAGGCGTTCCAGGCGGCGTGGAACGCCGCATGTGCTTCGGGCGCGCCGTCGGTCATCGTGGTCCCCAACGGGAGATTTTTGGTCAGTAGTGTGACTTTTGAAGGGTCAAGTTGCAAGTCAAAGTCCATAACATTTCAAATGAGTGGCACACTTGTGGCCCCACAAAACTACAAACTTGACAAGTGGATCTCATTCCATATGGCCAATGGGTTGTCCATAATTGGTGGAACCCTAGACGCCCAAGGAGCCCCTCTTTGGGCATGCAAAAAGTCCGGCAAGGGTTGCGGTGACGGCGCGACGGCATTGTCGATTTACCACTCGAACAACGTTGTCGTGAGCGGGGTGAGCTTCGTAAACAGCCAGAAGTTCAACTTCCTCGTCTACCAATGCGACAACGCCAAGATACAAGGAGTGAAAATCACGGCGCCGGGAGACAGCCCCAACACGGACGGGATCCACGTGGAGATGTCGTCGCGAGTGACGATCACGAACGCGGTTATCGGCACGGGGGACGACTGCATCTCCATCGGGCACGGGAACTCGGACTTGACGATCGAGGGAACCAAGTGCGGGCCCGGGCACGGGATCAGCATCGGGAGTCTGGGGTGGACGGCGCAGGAAGCGGGAGTCCAGAACGTGGTCGTGAGGAGCTCGACTTTCGTGAAAACGCAGAACGGGTTCAGGATCAAGACATGGGCGAGGCCGAGCAGCGCCTTTGTGAGCAATGTCGTGTTCAGCGGAGCAGTGATGGATGGGGTTCAAAACCCCATCCTCATCGACCAGGATTACTGCCCTCATGGCACAAACTGTCCCAACCAGGTACGTAACCGTAACCGATTATTATTATTATTAACTTAAACCTCAAACTTGTGATTGGCCCACCGGGCTTTGACGATCTAACGCTTAAAATGATGAATGTGACCGAACATGTTTGGATCATCGATCAGAGCTCGGGGGTGAAGATAAGCAACGTGAAATTCCAAGGGATACGGGGGACGTCGTCGTCGGCGGTGGCGGTGAAACTGGACTGCAGCAGGACCAAACCATGCACGGGGATAAATTTGGACAATGTGAACCTTATGTACAACGGGCGCGAGGCTCAGTCTTCGTGCGTTAACGCCAAGGGCTTGGAGTCTGGTTTGGTTAAGCCTGCTGGCTGCGCTCTTGCCTAATTAATTTATACGGAGTATTTTATTTCATTCCACTTGCATGCATGCACAACTACGCGAATCTATATTTATTACTGTATCATGAACTTATTTAATTACTTCCAACCGCGCCCCTTTAATTAATCACCTAGGAATTATTAAAATAAGAAGTCATATATATGTAACAATTCCCAATAATGTGTAATAATATGTATGGCAACTTACTGCATATGCTGGGAAGTTATAATAATATAATTATAAATTCATCTTGATTTAAATTTGTGGTGTGAATGCATGTGGTGCTCTAGAATGGAAGATCTATGATATGGGCCATAAAAATTTGAAAAAAATAAGAAAAAAAAAGAAAAAATGCAGCGACAGTTTCGTAATTTTATTGAACTTTGTAAAATGCACAGTAGTAGAACAATGCTACATGGGCGAACAAAAATGCATCATTCTCATTTCTCTTCATTTTCACAGGGATCGGCACATCAACTGAGCAATAAAAAGACCCATCAATTTGAGTAAAATTAATAAGTTTTTTGTAAGGGTTAATAAGGTACAATCCTAAAATTATCTCCTAAGGTACAATCCTAAAATTAAATAAATTGCTCTAAAGAAAATTATGAGTCAAATTGTAGTGAATTGCTTTCAATATAATTAATGAAAACTGGTAGTGAATAATTGAAAAAATTCTTAGTATATATTGGATTTAATTATGCTATTAAATTGTCATTTACACGCTTATGTAGTAATTCAATGTTTAATTTTATTTTCATTTTACTTCATTACGAGTTTAAGTCTTTTTAAATATATCAAATTCTAACATTTTTTAGATCTGCCTACGATACGGAACATAATATTGTACGTTGACAAAACATATTATATTGTTTTTCTTGTCATTTCACTTTAATTCCTCCGTCCCACAAATTTTTCTCTTTTCTTTTATTATTCGTTCCAAAAAAATCTTTCTCATTTCTATTAAAAAAAATTACTTTTGCCCCCACTAATTTTTAACCTTCCTTTTCACACCACATTTTTTTACTATTAATCTACCCATCATATCTACTTTCATCCATCACATTCAAAGAAATTTTTCAAAAGTCAACACCAAAAAATACTCTCCTTAAATCTTTTTTTAAATCAAAACGAGAAAGATTTTGTGGGGCGAAGGAAGTATTATTTATAAATTGTGTTGATCTCAACCAACCTTTTTGCATCGAGTGCATACAAAAATGATTTCGGTTAACTTTTTTTTGGACTTGGGCGGTTGTAATGAAGGACCATGCTACATTTATACCATGCTATATTGGGAAAATCATTATGTTTTAATTCTATTTAGGTAAATTTCTCTTAAGAAAATGAATTTAAAGAATCAAACTTAACTAACTCACTTTACTACTCATTTATAAAATAATACTCGGGTATATTCTTTCACATTATGTTTTATATAGTAGAACTTTTAATGTAATTTTTTACTATATAAATTTTATTTTTAAATTTTATACCTATAATCAAATAAATTACATTGAAAATAAAGTCGGTCAAATCTCGTAACACAAAATTTTTAAATTTTTATCATTATAAATTGTCTTAAAAAAATTGGTTACCCTTGAACCATATGTTTAGGCTCTGTTTGGTATACACAATTCAAACCATGAAATTGAAATTGAGAATTTTAATTTCAATTTTTTAGTTGGAAATAAATATGTAAATTTGAAATTGATAATGCAAAAAACGAATTGAAGTTGGAGAATTGAATTTCATCCAATTCAGATCGATAGACTTTCAATTAAAATTTAATTTCAATTCCATCAATTTCGTGTATCTAACGGACTCACATGAAGTTTATGTCTAACACAGTCTACGTCAAGGAGGATGATACACTGCTATCAATGTTCTCTTCTCTATTCACTTTGATTTTCCAACTTCTAAATTCTAATAGCATTACATGCTTATCTAGCTACTTCTAAGTTCTACCAACTACAACAAAAACCATTAAAAAAAATTTAAAACTTTCACAATCTATCTGTCTCAAAATAAATTTCATTTTAATTTAACTGAATAAAAATTTAAAATAATTACTCCCTCCGTCCTTGAGTTATTATCTACTTTTGACTTTTTTCAATCTAAATTAGTAAATTTTCACCTCAAATTAAATAAAAATGATATTAGACATTGATACCAGAATAAATTTATTAGATTTATTACATTAAATACTTTCAAAATAATATTCTATCTAATTAATATAAAATACTCCGTATATATTTTATTTAATTAAAGGTCAAACATTGAAAATAATTGACCAAAAAAGTCAAAATTAGACAAACATTTAGGGACGGAGGTAGTATATGGTTAAAAATTATTTTGATGAGAGAGGAGTGATGTGAGCTTCGCATCCGCTTCCTTAAAAGGGAAATATGAAAATTTATTTTAGAACATACCAAATATCGAAGAAGAAAATGTAACTTTATTAAGTTTATTTTGGTACCTACCGGAGGAGAACATATAGAGTAATGCATAGTAGAGTATTTGTCTACTTTTAAATTTTTTCAGACAAAATTGATAAAATTTGACGTCAAATTAAATAATAATGATATTAGATATTAATACAAAATTTTTTTTATTAGATTTATTATATCAAATATTTTTAAAAGATTATTCTATCTAATTAATATACAATACAAATTTTAATTAATTATAGGTCAAATGTTGAAAATGATTGATCGAAAAAAGTCAAAACTGAATGTGTACTCAGAGACTGAGGTAGTATAAAACTTTACATTGAGAGAAATTTTAAAGCTTTTTATGTATAGCCACTTATAATATAATAACTAACACTCCAAATCAAACAAAGATGAGAGAAGAAAGTGGTTCAAATGAGAAAGAGAGAATGAAAGGGAAAATTGTAGCCTTTGCTCCAAGCAGCTCACATGATTATGATGAAGATGATACACATAATAGAGTGTCTTCTTTTCTTCAATTCTCTACTACTTCTCCCCCAAGTATATACACAAATATATAATTATATACTATAGCTAGCTCTCTCCCATCCTTTTAATTTTCTTTTTTGTCTACTTTTAAAATAAATGGAGAGAAAAAATGCCCTAGAATTTCTGCTTTTTGGTGCATTAACAATTTTTTTTTAACTTTCAGATATTGCTGATGATGGGATGCTGAGAGGTACAGAGAACCCATGGGCCAATGGTGATTTACATTCTCATACTTTTTTTTTTTGGAATTTTTGAAATGCTATATATATTCAATGAATATTATGTTGATTTATCAAATTCGCATTTTGTTTTTTATTTGATTCTATTCAGATGATGAGATGAGACTGTTATTAATCCCAATATTTAAATTTCATAAAGTAGTAATCCCTCCGTCCCAAATTTTAATGTCTGTTTACTATTCACAGGGTCAAACTTCATTCACTTTCTTTCTCAATTTTTGTTAGCAATTTGATAAAATAAAGTACTATTGTCACTACTAGTTTTGTAGATCTTTTGATGTAATATTTTAATATGTAATTTTTATTTTTTAACTATATACCATTTGTCATATAAAATGATTTGAAAATAATTTCAGTCAAACATCGTAAACCGAAACAGGCGTTATAAAATGGGACGATGGGAGTAGAATATTCACGAATGTAGAAGACCATTATATTTGTGAAATTTACTCAAAGATAAATCTCAAATATTTTCTTGATAAATTTTCAGCTCGTCCTTTGCATTTAAAATCCAAACATAATTTTTTTTTGTTTTGTGTAATATACGTTGGAAATTAAATTAGATGGTGATTGGACAAGAATTGAGCTGGAGAAGAGATGGGCTTTGATCAAAGCTTGGGAAGAGAATGAGAAAGCCAAAGCTGATAATAAGTATATATATATGGCTGAATCCCATTCTTTTATTTACTCCGTATCTAATAATAATCGTATTTATGTAATTTTAACTTTTTAATGCTCTGTATCTCAATATGATGATGAAACAGAGCGCATAAAGAGTTGTGTGCAGTTGCAGCATGGGAGAGCTCTAAGAAGGCCTCTCTCGAGGTTAAGCTTAAGCAAATCGAGGTTAAACTCACACTCCATCAAAATGTTATGTATTTCACTTTCACATAGTTTTCTTAAAAATTTGAGAAAATGCGACTAGAATTTGTTATGAAGAGAGAATTTCGGAAAATGTAGCCTTATTCTTAATAAAAGACACCTCGATTATTCTGAGATATTATGAAATTACCTCAATTTGGACCCCTTACGATTCTCCGTTCGGTCCGAAAGTGATTTCTAACCCTCCAACTCTCATCGTGTTCGTCAATTGGCAACAACAATTTAGTATTACCATTCAACGAACAAGATGGGAGCATGTGTTGGAACCACTCTCGGGTCAAACGAAGCCTCTTAAGGACCCTAAATTAGAGAAGTGCCACAACATGAAACCACACTCCAGTGTCAAATATTACTGAGCCGAATAAAAGAAAGAATAAAACTTTTGTTGCAGGACGGAGAAAGCATAGTATAATTAAGACCTTATTTTTTCCTCAAAAAAAAATGTTAACAGATGCAGTGTATATGATGATGATGATGATGATGCATGAATGAATGCAGGAAGAATACGAGAAGAGGAAGGGGGAATATGAGGAGAAAATGAAGAACAAAGCAGCAGAGATTCACAGGGAAGCAGAAGAGAGAAGGGCACAGGTTGAGGCCGAGAAAGGGGAAGGAATGCTCAAGTTAGAAGAGGCTGCTTCCAATTTCCGCTCCAGCGGATACGTCCCCCATACCCTCCGTTGTCGCCTTTGTTGTTGCTGTTGCTGTCGTCCCTGCTAGCTTGCTGCTGTCAAAGATAACTTGCTTGACAAATTGACTTTGGCCTTATGTTTTTTATATTTTTGAACTCTTTGTTTGTGACTCGACATTTCTCTTTTGGGATGTGGATGTGACACTTCCCGACATACCGACACAATATCAGAGAATGGTAAAAACCCACCACCCTGCACGGAGGATTATTGTCTGTGTTGTGCACATATGATTATCATATCTGTATAGGTATAAAATTGTTTGTGTTCTCATGTGTAGGAGCGGGGGTGGGGGCAGTGTAGCACGGTCCTAAAGTATCACTTTCGTATAATAATGTGTTAATCATGGGTTTTGTAGAATATACGAGTAATAGAAAGAGCAGTTTTTTTTAATCTCACTCTGGTCAAAATAAAAATCAAATACAAGGTACAAGGGCTCTACAAAGTTCAAAATTGACTTTGGCCGAATATAGAGTTCATTAAAATATTGTAAATATTTATAACAAAAATGCTTAATAAAATTTTGTTCTAAGGGACTTGGACTAACAAGCAACACTTCATTCCAAGTAATATTGGAAATAGCAATCATAATAACCTGAAAAAACACAACTAGACCAACAATAGACAGAGTCATTCATAAAAACTTACCATATTCGATCAGACCCATGCTTAGGATTCCTCCTGGTAGTCACCTTCTTCACCTTCTTCCTCGTATTCTTCGTCAGCAGTGGCGTCCTGATACTGCTGGTACTCTGCCACCAGGTCGTTCATGTTGCTCTCGGCTTCGGTGAACTCCATCTCATCCATACCCTCCCCGGTGTACCAATGCAAGAAGGCCTTCCGGCGGAACATGGCGGTGAACTGCTCGCTCACCCTCCTGAACATCTCCTGTATGGAAGTGGAGTTGCCGATGAAGGTCGCTGCCATCTTGAGACCAGTGGGTGGAATGTCACAGACACTGGACTTGACATTGTTTGGGATCCACTCCACGAAGTAGGAAGAGTTCTTGTTCTGGACATTCATCATCTGCTCATCCACCTCTTTTGTGCTCACCTTGCCACGGAACACTGCTGATGCAGTCAGATACCTGCCATGCCATTTGAGGTTGTAAACAAATCAAGTTTTGAATTCCAGTCTCAATTGGTTCAATTTCTAATGAGATTCTTATCTTGTTTTTTGATTAGTCACAAATTGATTCGAAAACCACCTTCGAAAAATAATGCAAGTGAAGTATCAAGTGTTTATATACCCATTCAAATCATGGATACAAGTCATGTAAACAATATTTGATTATTTTACATCATTACCTGCCATGACGGGGATCAGCAGCACACATCATGTTTTTGGAATCCCACATCTGTTGGGAGAGTTCTGGGACCGTGAGGGAACGATACTGCTGTGAACCACGCGAAGTAAGTGGAGCAAAGCCAACCATAAAGAAGTGGAGACGGGGGAAAGGTATAAGATTCACTGCTAGCTTCCGTAGATCTGAGTTTAGCTGACCAGGGAAGCGAAGGCAGCAAGTCACACCGCTCATGGTGGCTGATATCAAGTGGTTCAGATCTCCAACTGAAAAAATAGAAATGCATATGGTCATATGTAATCAGATTCCATGCACCATTGAGCTTTAACCATCCTAAACACATACTCAGTAAGGATTCATCCAACAAACACACTCTATCCTAATACATAGCACACATAAGATCAATGCAAAACACTATCAATCAAATGAATTCCAAAAAATAATTTAAGTTAATTGTTGACATGTTTTTTTAGTTAAAATTCAAACAGTAGAAACCAAAGAAAATGGACACTGCCATCAGCTTTCCTACGCAAAGAATATCTTCAAAAACAAGTGAAACAAAGATTAGATTAGATGTGTTTGAGTACAAAGAATATGAAGAGAGTCTCATGCTCAATCACCAAGTTTTTGGTTGTGTCCATACTAGAAGTCTAGAAGCAGTTCAGCACGCACATTGGCATATTGCCACCCAAATAGATTATAACATGTCATCATTTCCATTCCAATATAAGTTGAAAATCTCAAAATTCCAAGCTCTGAGTTTAACAAGGGAAGAAAATCCAGCAGAAATTAGAATTGCCTTGAGGATTTAAAAGGTCATAAGTAATATAAAAGGTTTATAATGCATTTGTCCAATGGGTTTTGGTCAAATTATTCAGAGAAATCGAAAAGCCTTCCAGGAAATTACCCTTTTCTGGGAGCTACTCATCTACAAATTTAAAGGGATGAGAAGCACAAAAATGGCCTTCTGATTCTCATTTTTACATGCTATTTCAGAAATAAAAGCTAATGACTTACAACTTGGAGTGGTGAGCTTTAGAGTGCGAAAACAGATGTCATAGAGAGCCTCATTATCCAACACCATACACTCATCAGCGTTCTCAACCAACTGATGCACAGAGAGCGTCGCATTGTATGGTTCCACCACCGTGTCGGACACCTTTGGCGACGGAAAAACGGAGAAAGTTAACATCATCCGGTCAGGGTACTCCTCCCTTATCTTCGATATCAACAGCGTCCCCATGCCCGACCCTGTTCCTCCACCCAGCGAATGACACACTTGAAACCCTAGAAACATAAACCAAAGAATAAAACCATCAATTCCGCTGCAATCGCTTCCAGGGGCATCAGATCCAGGAACTCTTAAGCAAAAATACTCCATCAGACACATGTATTGTTAACGAACGCTTAAATACCCAAACAAAAACACGAGTTCATGTATATTCGCGTACCTTGGAGGCAATCGGAGTTCTCGGCCTCCTTGCGGACGACGTCCAGGACGGAGTCGATGAGTTCAGCGCCCTCGGTGTAGTGTCCCTTGGCCCAATTGTTTCCGGCGCCGGACTGGCCGAACACGAAGTTGTCGGGGCGGAAGATCTGGCCGTAGGGGCCGGATCTGACGGAATCCATGGTGCCGGGCTCCAGATCCATGAGGACCGCTCGGGGGACGAACCGTCCACAGCTAGCCTCGTTGTAGTAGACATTGACGCGCTCGAGCTGCAGATCGGAATCGCCCTGGTAGCGGCCGGTGGAGTCGATCCCGTGCTCGGCGCACACGACCTCCCAGAACTTGGATCCGATCTGATTGCCGCATTGGCCGCCTTGGATGTGCAGAATCTCACGCATCTCTGGGTCGATTTAGCTGCGCTCGTAAAGATGGAAAGGTGTGTGGGTGGAAATGAAGAAGAAGAAAATGTGGTGTGGCCGTTTTTGGGGCTTTAGGAAGAAGACAATATAAGTAGGCGAGAAGAGGAGGGAAGTTAGAATTTTGAAATGGGGCATCGAGACATGTGAAGGCACAACTATCCAAAAATAATGCAACATTTACATTTCAAATTTTTTACACTTTCCTTCACATATGCTACACTACTTTTTTTTTTGACTTTTCAAAATCTATATATACCACATTGAGAGATACGGAGTAATATTGATATATTTATATATAGATATATAGATATATTATAAAAAAATTCAATTTCAGAACTACGGAGTATGTTTTAAAAGAATATTATTGATATTATGTTTATATCCAAACACATTATATTTTTTTTGCATATTGAAATTAGGGAATTGATAATGGCACTCCACATCTCTCTTTTTCTTTTTTAAATGGCATAAATGCCCTCTACTTTGACAATGGTGATCAATCCTTACAAAAAAATACAATAACCATGAAAGCATCACAACAAGGATCTGCTCGAGATGGCCACCGGAGTAACACATAAGAATAAATGTAACGCCCTAGAAAAAAGTATATTAGAATTTATTAATTGATACGGAGTAATTTATTAATTACTGAGATAGACCTAAAATAAGCGATTTATAAAGTTTGTGAATTAATTTTGAAAATTATATCGTTGTGTAAAGTTCAACTATCTGATCGCGACAGTTCAATTAGATTTTAATTTGGAGAAAGTTGGACAAAAAATGTATCCCGATTGGGACCATTTAAGCATCAATCACGGAGAAGCGTGTAAATCTTTAAAGTATCGCCACTTCCGCCGATTCGTCGGTCTCCGATGACACAGCAAGCAGGGGATGGTCTGGCTTCTTCGTCCTTCGCTCTCATATATTAGGATTGAGGAATGACAAATTACTTCATTTCTTCCCCATTCTTTCTCATTTTTCTTCGATTGTGTTTTTGTGAGTGTGGAGGGTGGCGTAGTGCTGTCCGGAGAATTTGAGGTTGCCAGAGATAACCACAATAGTCGTCGGAAGTTTCACTAGCAAATTTTTAAAACCTTCATTTAAGCCCCGAGTGAGTCTTTAAATATATCTATTGATTAAATTGCTTATATAGAATTTAAAAAGTTTTTCTATAATTAATGTACTGTTATTTCAAAAATGAATCAATTTGAAAAAACACCGAGTTAGAAAGTACTATTTTAAAAAAGAAATATAAAATTTAACGTTATTTTAACAGCCAATAGTCGAAGGACTAAACTGAACATTATTTTCAATTAACGAGTACTATCTTAGAAATTAGTTAATTTTAAGAACTAATTTGAAAAAACATATAATTATTGAATAGTTATTTAGTACGTAGTATCATTTAAAAAATGAAATAAAAAATATGAGTAAAAGCGCAATGTTTAAAATAGAAATAAAACACAATATATATCGTACAACCGGTTTATACGGTGTTTTCCGTACATCCACTACGAATACTCATTTGATTGTAATTTTAGGTTCTCTTAACCCAAATATAGCTTCAGACGGTAGATAGTGGAAACAGTGCTTCTCTACTTCGCCGCAATCTTCTCTTCTCCGTGCTGCGCAAACCCTCTTATTGCTCTCATTCGCTCCTTCGCTCTTCTCCCGTAGGTATGTCTCTGTTTTGTATTCTTTTTTGTTGGAATTGCAACTGTGGATCTGCACCTATGGAATTTTATTTCTAGATTTGCCCCAAAATTTCCTGAAAGATTAGATTTTTTTTGGAATTGCCGTTGAAGATTTCAGTTATTTCTGGATATTTTTTTTTGGAATATTTTTGGAAGATTTTTTTGGATTAGAATTTTTTTGGGTAGGCATATGATTATGCACCGATTTGGAATTGCAGATGAAGATTTTTTTTTGGAATTTGATTTGTAGAACTTGTGGAAAATTGATTTAGAGAAGGAGTAGACTTTTTTATTTGTTCTGGTTTACTATAGAAGGATTAAAATTTGATTTTTAATAATTAAATACAAGTAATAAAAATTAAAAGTAATAAAAGTGTATAATATAGATGTCACAGTTGGAAAAGAGATGAAAAAGTTTGAAGTTAAAACAGTTGGAGAGCTAAAATGACATTTAGCTTTCATAATTTTTTACTCCCCTTGGAGTTGCTCTTACGTGTGTCCTTTTTTCTGTCAAATTAGGGTTTTAGCAAGCTAGGGAAGCCTTTTCTCTACCTCCCCAACAATGGAGGTCCAGCCACCAGCTCAGGCTCCGCCTCCATGTTGGAGCAACATAGTAAAGCAGGAGCTGCCGCCGGTCCAACAAAACAACCTTTTCCCTTTTTCTGCCCCGTCGCGGCCTCCAAATCGGGAGTTGGTCGGGAACTGCAGCTCAACAAAGGGAATCGCGGTGGCGGTGGTGGACGCAAACGCCATCATCAGGGGCGGCCAGAACCTATCGCATCAGGCCGATCGTTTTGTATCTGTTCCAGAGGTCTTGGCCGAAATTCGGGACCCGACCTCTCGCCACTCCCTCAATTTCCTTCCTTTCACTGTTGACACAATGGAGCCCTCACCTGATGCCCTTAAAAAAGGTTTGTACGTATCAGTTGCTGATAAAAATGAATTCTTGCTAATTTTGTTCGTTCATGAGGTTCCATAAGTTGCTCCATTGATAGAAATGGCATCTCCCTAAATGGCTTGTTAATGAATTAAAGACTCATTTTGAGATAGAAATATGGATGCAGTTGCATGGACACACTATCAAGTTCTCAAATTATGAAACCTTTGGGGTGTTCTTGCTGTTAAATTTTGGTTAAACTTTCTTATATATTTAATACTTATTGCCATAAAAACTTATATGTTATTCTTTTATCATTTTAACTCACGATGAAAGGAAGTGATAAATAATTTCAACGTTGTTGATTCACAGTTATTAGATTTGCAAGAGCAACTGGAGATCTGCAGACACTATCAGATGTGGATCTGAAGCTACTTGCTTTGACATACACGTTGGAGGCACAAAGTCATAGAACAGAGCATCTTAGGGACTGCCCACCTCCCATCCACACGGTCAATGTGAGAAGGCTGCCCGAGAAGGATCTACCCGGTTGGGGAACCAATGTTTCAAATCTTGAAGAATGGGAAGCTCTTGAAAATGCAGTTGAATCAAATGCCACCTCCAGAATCCTTCCCCTAAAAGATTTGACCCTAAATGCTGTTCCCACAGATCAACAAAGTACAGATGGTTCTTTGACTTCATTAAATGTTGGTGGTTTCAGGAAGCCTAGAAAGTATTTAGCTCAAAAGAAGGAGATAAAGATTGAAGGTAAGAAGATGGTGGCTGATGGGATAGATGCTTCACAGGGACAATTTGATGAGGACAATGCCAGCGATTGGTTGCCTGCAGTTAGTCGAAGCACTCATAGAAAGTATCTCAGAAGAAAGGCCAGAAGAGATCTCCGTCACACACCGTCTGAAAGGGAGGATGTTGATGGTGCTTCCACTGAGATTATCAAGGAGAACGTATCCGAAGAAATTTCTAATATTTTAAATGAAATGAGACTGGAGGAAGATGAATCATCTGATTCTGATGATGTCAAAAGCCCTGATGCCGACATAAATAATAACACGAATAAGGATGCTGGGAGGGATATAGAGGAGGAGGAGGATGATGGTGCTGGTGACTTTGATGAAGGAGTTGAAGCTGTAGAAATTGCTAGTCAGAGCTGTGAAAGCACAGAAATGTCACAAGTGGACGATTGCAGCAGCGAACAGAGTTGGACACTTCGATCCTTGTCTGAGTCAACGGTTGCTTGTATAACTAGTGACTTCGCAATGCAAAATGTGATTCTTCAAATGGGTTTGCGGCTTATAGCACCTGGTGGGATGCAGATTCGTGAGTTACAGAGGTATATAAAGGGTCACGTTATTTTTCTTTGTTTACTCGCGCCTCGTATTTCTTGCTGCGTCATTCTAGTCCTGATGTGATTGGTTGATTTTTTAAAATGGTATGGAGTATAATAGTTTGTGCGATGGGATTTTCTATTCGTATTTTCAGGTGGGTACTAAAATGTCATGCTTGCTATAAGGT